TTCAAAGAGGCCGTATACAAGTTCAGAAATAAAAGTGATATTGGAATATTGTGACTATTTGAAATTCTATCCATTACCAAAAGTCACAATTCTTTTTAGGGGAATACAAGTGATGATGGCCTGTTCAACAAAGCATCCAATAAATAAAAGTGCCATGGATCAAGCGGGAGACTCAAGTTAAACTTCTTCCCACTTACCCTTGAATAATGTTCTGTTTTTTCACAATTTTTTTTTATTTATTTATCACGTTTCATACATTTTTCATTTATTCTTTTATATCCATTAATATTCTCATTATTTGATTGATGTTAATAATAAGAATTATAATAGTTAATAGTTAATCTACTTTTCTGCAAAGATAAATTATAATCAACACGATTTTTAAATCCAGTTTTACAAAACTGGAACTGAATTTAAACCAAATTTAAATTGCAGTTGGTAGACAGTCGTTTTTTTCATTACATAAAAAAAAAAAAAATAAAAACTAAATTAATTATACAAATAGAAATTAATATTAATTGATTATATTATTCCTCTAAGGAATGTATAAAGTCAGAGTTTTTGGGGGAATTAAATAATAATAATAATAATAATAATAATAACAATAAATGATGATATGATATTATCATTTATTATATATCTCAGGTAGTTCGAAATTGATTATTTGAGGTAAATAAGCACATGCTGATAAATCTAAAACATATAGATCATCATATACTGTTTGTCCATCGTATCCTCCAAATACAAAAAGCCTTGAATCGTACAAAACTGATGTATGATATCCGCGTTCAGTTGGCCGTGTTCCATAAACTTTACGACTTTCCCATTGCATTGTAACTTTTATTATTATTATTATTATTATCATTATTAATCATGAATCTTATTTATATATATTTTTAATAAATAATGAATAAATGAATGAAAATACCTAAATTCAGCAGCAACAAATCAGATGAATATTGTGTGCCATTATGACCACAAATAATAAATAAATATGATCCAACTCTAGTT